CAGTATTTACAAAGCTCTACTTCCACATGAATGATGGTAGTGCCCACCTTACCCTCCTTCTGCCAGTGTCTCAAGTACTGTGGAGAACTCCACAGTACTTGAAACCCTTATCTTTATTAACAATAGTTTAGGATTTTGTGCCAAGGCAATATTACTCAGTAGGAATTCAGTGAATATCACATCTGTAGCCTTGTTATTGTATACTCTTCTAGAATATGAAGACTAAAAGGGTTCAAAGGCTTCTACATTACATTTTGAATGGCCCAGCACCTTTGTTCTAAAAATAAATACATGATTTAAAAATAAATAATTAAGTGGGTTCAAACCAGAGGCTTACATTGCTTTTGACGATATGCACATTTGATCAGCTGTTGAAAGAGTTGAGTTCAGCTGTGCTGAGTTAAGATTTAGTGACAGGGGTACACAGGGATCGGACTCAAAGACAGAAACTTAGCCTTTTCCTTAATGAACAAGAAATGAGTATCAGACTAGCTGACAAGGATAGATAATACACAGTACTGGAAGCTTTGGATACTTTCCAGTAGGGTGGAATACTGGTATGGCCAACCTTTAGGCCACGATTCAATGAAGAACACTAAGAACAATTGTTAAGCTCATCCTTACTTGACAAATCATGTCAGTTTATGCTTATCTTTAACTTGTGATTATTGAAGATGATAAAAATTTCTATGTGCACTTAAAATTAGGCAACAACTTCACTGTTTTGTTGAAAGGTCATCCATAATATGCTGGGGAGAAAGTAGTCTGACCTGCCATGGTCAGGAGAGGCTGCTTTTATGTAAGGCTGCATGACAAGATAAAAAACAGGCAAAACTTTTTGAAGAAGATTTCCTCATCCTCACTTCCCACTCCATATCCTCCCACCTTCCTAAATTACCCTTTTTACATCTCAATTGATGGAAAGACAAAGAAACCACTGTAAGTGAGCAGAACTGCAAAGTGAGGCAAAAATTGCAAGGGGCAAGACTGAGAAAAACAAGTCTAGTCCAGTCTGAATGTATGAGGCAAAATCAACAGAAGGCAGCTAAAAATGTACATTGACAATGAAGGACAAAGAGTTTTATAAGCATTATTGCCGCAGTCTGTTAAAGCATTTGCAGCAGAAAAAAGATACAAGAAAAATTGATGAGTAGAACTAATAGAAAAAGAAAGGACAAAAAAAAAATCAAAATTATTAACTTTTTCATAATTATTTTAAACAATGGAGCACATGCTCTCGTGTTTTGAGAGTTAAGCGCTTGTACACATCTTTCTCATTGTTTTGAATGAAGCTCAAGCATATGATCAAAATTCTTTGCTCGATAAGAGTATTTTTTCTGAAATCGGGCTGGAGAGCTACTTGAACAGGAATCATATTTCCAGACATACATCCAGGCCCATGTGTGTGTGTGATGCTGTATTTGAAAATACTGTGTGCACATATCGCACAGAGAATACTTCATGTGCTTGAAGCTGGCACCATGCTTGAGCACCCTGTTAGATTGGGGTGTGAGTGAAAAGGTAAAGGCTGCAAAGGAAAAAGGAAATACTTGTGAAAGATTTAGGCATTTCTCCAGCTTGCTATTGTACTGTGGAGTACTTACTATTAATGCTGTAACTTGTTGTGTAGACACTTAAGAAAATAATTCTGCTCACATATCTGATATGACTTTCAAATTCAGACTTTGCCATTTCCAGGTCCAGGTAACATTTTAAAAAGAATAACTGGTTTTAATGAGAAGGGATAGAATTATATCTCTTTTTCTGAGAGGAGAGAGAAGATAGACAGCAGAGGATAGATAGGAGAGGACTCTGACAGCATGTAAGAAGCCCTACACTAAGTTTTTAGGGAGCTGAAATCTAAGCTTTAGGAAAAAACTTCAAATTTAAAGATTAACTCTTCACACACCAATTTGCTGATTCATTTATTTTTAGTAAATATAGTGAGAATATGTTTAGGTTTAGTAAATCAACATGCCAAAGGAATACCTATTTTGGAGACAGAAAATGTTAACTTATGGTGGTAATGCTATAAGGATTAAATGCCATACTTGACTAGTGCCATGGTTCTGTAGAAAATAATGAGAAATTGAGGAAAACATTAGAAGCCTGAATTTCCAAGTTTTTTCTTAAGTTAAATTTATTTGAAATTGAAACAACTCAGCTACCTTTTTTACATCTGTTTTTCCTTGGGTTTCTGTAATGCCAATACCTGCACAACCTTTAAGACATATACATTTTCAGCTTTTTAATTATTTTTAATTTCCTTTTTTTTATAAGCTTTAAATCATTATTCACTTAGTCTAGATATATACAACAAATAAAGAAGGTGCTTATGAGTCTCTTGATCTTACACTTCCATTTGAAAGCAAGTTTAACTGAATATTAAAAACCTGTGAGGATTACCCAGATGATATCTGTATATCAGTGGTTTTCAACCTGTAGTCTGCCATCTGGGGATCTCTGGATTACTCCTGAGCAGTCTGTAAAAATTGAGGGA